TTTTCTTCCACCAAGAAAAGTGCTTTACAGCGTGTCCTTCTCGGACCATGTTGCCATCTTACGGCTGTGGGGGAACTGCCTCACGGTCAGTTGTTGTTGTGGTTTGTGTGTCGCGGCCAGGGGCCTGCACTTACTCTCTGTTGAACATTGGAAAGTTCATTGATTCATCCAACGTGTCTCACGGTTGAAAAAGTGAAGAAAAGAGGAAAACCATCTCTGGTTTGCAAGGTGGGCGGTCATCGACCTTTTATACCCTCTGTGGGTGGCGAGCCCCACTCGTGCTTGTCACAAGCATCACTGGTTGCCATGCAAGATGTCAATCCAGAATCCGCATCATCGTTCTACTCTGATTCGTTCATTCCTTTCGGAATTCACTCTGCGTTATGACTCATCCCTTCCGTCCTGCTACAGGGATGTTACCGACCACAGCCCTCCACTTACGTTCCGGGTGTCTAGTGACGTCGCTCAGACCACCCGTACCGTTGGCACGGGCTGGTTCCATGGTTCCATGGTTCGCCTTATAACCAAACATACGAACCACCTGCGCACCTCGGCCACGCCTCGGCCACTACGGTGGAAGGGGAACACACTATGTCGCTGCGTGTCTCTCGACACTCCGCTCTGTGTTGTCCACTCGCACTCCGCGCTCGTTCCTCACTTTCACAAAATACAATTTTGGTAGCATTTCACATCGTTCCATGTTGTCTTCCCCCACTCGGTTACCGTCGTGGTGTCAGCTGTCTCGCAGCTGTGTGTGTTGTGTGACGGTCGCCTCACGGCGCCCTACTCAATGAACATCTCACCACTCCGTGCTCACGCACGTCGGGTTCGACGCAACCCTGCAGGTGGCTTTTCGTAGTCATGATATTCCCTCCGGGGGTGCTCTTACTATTGGTATCACATGAACGGCAGCTTACGTGCTTGGAAAAGATCAAGTTCTATTATAACTCAATTGGTAGCCGGGAACTCTACAACCGGCAAACCCGTCTCTTGTGTGAGCCCTGTGCAGGGATAGGGCGGAGTCCACAACCGCTTCGAGTCCTGCTTCTCGACAAAACCACGACAGTTGTCCGACAACGTACCCATGAAGGCTCTCTTCTCAAGAATGCGCTTCGTCTCCACCCACCAGGTGGCCATGTTCAAACGCCACGCTGACACTTGCCAGCGGTTGCGCCAGTCGCCCGCCTTCAAAGGCACAAACTCTGCTTCCTCCAATGTTGTCCTCAATGACTTCTCCCCACGGTCGAATGAACTCAAAACAAACTCAGGGTCAATGACCATGCGCTCTTCCCAGGGCACATAACGCCCCCGTGCATCCACGGTGTTCTCCAGACACCACTGTGACTCGTGTCCCAGAAGGACATCCATGATAGCAACGTGTCCCCTGGACCAACCGTTTCGCGGTTTCCTGTACGTCGCAGCCGAGGGTAGGGCATAGCCCCAGCGGCAAAAGCCAGTTCGTTCCACGAGCAACACTAGGTTGCCAATAGCTTCGTCCTCCGGAAGCTTGCCTGCGTCACACTGGTCGAGCAGGTTCAACAACTGCTCCCGCATGATATCGGGCGGCACCCAAGGTGGATATCCTTGGATATGCAGTCGACCGTCCACCCATTTCCGGTATGGCTCCTTCAACACTGTCGAAGGCATTTGTCAGTACAAAGCAGCCCACTGCTTGCTCGGAGGAGGGTCGTACCCATGTTTGCTGCTTGCAAAAAAGGAAATCAAGAAACTTATTCGTTTCTCTTGACCGTGCTGAGTGCTCCCAGCCTCAGATTCGTGGAAAGAGTGCTGTCTGCCAGACAGAGCAGAGAAGGGACAAAGCCCACCATTTTGTACTCTCTGTACCAAGACTGCCCCACAGTCGCTCGTCGGTGCAAACTCCCGTTGCCTCATGGATGCGGCATGACGTGATGACCACTGGCCATCAAGAAGTGGAAAAACAA